GGGGTGGGGGGCGTGGGGGGACATGGAGGGAGGAAGGTCCTGTAGACAAATAATTTGGGAAACACTTTTGCAGACCTGCTCATGGCATATTGAAAGCTCTAGAAAACTCCTTTAGTAGAGATTAATTCAGTTTGATTATGTCCTAATCCAAAGAGAAACCTGTTTTTAAAGTAAGATACTACTAATTAACATCCCCTTCAACATACATTCAAACTACAGTGGGAGACACTGTGTTGACTCACAGGTTGTAGTTTTCCTGATTTGGTGATGTCAACTGTTCAAGAAAGTTTCCTGGTATGTTGGTGATGTGTGCATTATCTTAGATCCTTTTAAACACGAACTTGGGCAGAGACCACTCCCTTAAATGTCTAAGTCAGAATGCTTCAGACACTGGCTTGATAGCCTTAAAAGTCAAAACTGGGTTTAGATGAAATACTTAATTCATATAAATATTATAAAGGTTATTTTAAAATCTATTATATTTGGGGGTTTCATGCATTTCAATTACAAGAACTCATTCCAAAGGAGTAAATACTGGGTTGCAAAGTTACATAATGTTTTCTGTGTGAATTTGGGACTAATTGTAGAACCAACAAAGATGAACCAGGCACAAACCAACCCCTGGAGTCCGAGAAGGGACCAGAGCGATGCTGCAGATGTAAGTGCTGGCAGTGCGGCGTGCCCTGCGTGTGAGCCAAAACTGCTTTGTAGAGCAAGTAATCTATACCATGTGGCCATCATTTAGATTAAGAAAGGCCAGAGTCAAGGGACGAGCACATCTCTTCATCTGCAGTGCATCAGCAGTTCTTGGGCTTCAGCTGCTGAATAGATAATAACTAATTGAAGATAAATTACATGAACCCATGTGTGAGTGATAGATACGCTAAAACATTTTGTTCCTGATGCACAAAATCAACTGTAGTTTTTACTGTAACCGACCTCTCCCTTGTCAAGTGTTTTTGAAATTCCAGCTCTGCTCCAGCTGACTTCACATGGACCCTGAGGTCACAGAACTCACCAAGTGTTTGAAGGGATGATGTTGCTTCTATCTCTTCAGGCTTCCTTTGCCCCCACCCCAGGGTCATCTTCCTCCCTCTCCCATTTCTACATAAAAGTCTTTAAAAGTGTATACATAACTTTCTATAAATTGCTAGCCTCATAATCTGTTATCCTTGAACTGTGTCAGGGGCAGTAGGGAAGAATTTTCTATCTCCTGTCTTTGTGGTCCCTTATTAACAAGGCCATCAGGTTAAAATTTGGGAGTTGGGGTTTTAAAGTCACTGGGCTGTATTGGAGGAGTCTGCCCAGAAAAGAAAATGGAATAACATGAACTCTTGTTTTTGGTCACTTATAGAGCAGGGAGAGGGGCTTTAAATCATGCTTTTACTTTGGCTCTTGATCCTTTGCAGATGAGTCTTTCTATAAGGGGATGATATGTGATTCCAGCTTCAGGAACCCCATGTTCAACTACAAATCTTACTCTTTAGCTTTTTGTGTTAGTTGAATTAAATTGCAGAATATGAATTATTGAATGCAATTCTGTTTAGCCAATAGGCACTTGATGAACAGAATGGTAAATATAAATTAAATTCTAATTCACATAATTCTGCAGTGGTTCTCTTTAACTACTCATAATAAGAACTGTCATTGAGACTTGAGCTTAGATGTGCTTTTATTTTTAGACTACACCTGTGGTTTCCATAGATTTTAGTGAAATTTAAATTAAACAAAGGTGTTTTTGTTGCCACTGTTGTTTTACTGGTGATATTGCTTTAATAATGAATTAGCTCATTCTGAGAGTTAAATTCTATGTCCCTTCATAATCAACAATTGAAAACAATAGCAACAGCAATAAAAAAAATAATCCACGAATCTCTTATACTCAAGAGAAGTTTTTGGAATACACACACATTTTGCTGCACATAAAACTTGGGTTTACTTTTCCCACTAACTTGTTCTAATTTCTGCCAAGCCCTCACGTGGTTTTGTTATGTTTTACATTCATGAGCCTAAGGTTATTTTTGCAATTTTAGAAAAATCCAGTTTTGAATACATTAGAAATCATTTCAGACCTCTGAAAAGTCTGAAGATAAGAATTGATTGAATATGTTGTTACAGGTTTGTTTTGTTTTTTTAAGAGTCCCTGCAGCAGTCTTCCCTTTGTCAGGTTGCTTTGTGACTCCTGTGGTCTGGTCTAGTCCAGGTCTGACTTACCTACTTTGTCCTTTTGTGCCTTGCTTTTTACTTTCATTCTGTCCATTATGTACAGCGTAAGATGGTGAGTCGAGGGCTAACGAAGGCCTTTGTCACTTTCCACCTAATATTCTACATTTCAGACTGAGGCCTTCAGCAGAACCTGGAAATGTTCTTCTGTTGTGTCAGGTGCTGTCAGCATGGGCTTCTGGAGCAGTGTGAGGAAAGGTGCTGTTCAACTGTACAACTGGGAGCAGTTT